ATTATTATTATTATTATTATTATTATTATTATTATTATTATTATTATTATTATTATTATTATTATTATTATTATTATTATTATTATTATTATTATTATTATTATTATTATTATTATTATTATTATTATTTATTATTATCATTGCTATTGTTAAATTATCATTTATTGTTTATTATTTATTATTTGTCACTTGTTATTTGTCATTTATTATTATTATTATTATTATTGTTACTACTATTATTATTATTACTATATTATTATTACTATTATTATCATTATTATTATTAAATTATCATTTATTGTTTATTATTTATTATTTGTTACTTGTTATTTGTCATTTATTATTAATATTATCATTATTTTTCTTTGTTATTTGTTATTTGTTATTGTTATTGTTATTGTAGCAAAGCAAAATTGCTTAGTAGGAGCAGGTTTTATTGATGGACAAAAATTACGGAATGGACAATTAGTGAATATTTTCGTTTTCTCCGATCGTGAACCATTCTTATCGCTTCTCGCCGAAGGTTAATTAATCAAAAAATAAGCAAAAAGTTGATTACGTGAAAGTGTATATATGTACGTCTAAATAAACGCCACATATGTTGGTTAACTTAATTTCACATTTATTCCCAGTCAATAAGCTATTATTCAGTGAAAGTATTTCCAAAAATATGCTAATAACATCAGGAAGAAATGAAATGTAAAAAACAAACAACAATAATTCAAAATTTCAGCTTTTGTAAAGATTCAAGTGGAAAAATTAACTGATGATCTCGATCCAGGAAGTGCAAGACTTTGGTATATGTTTATTTTGATTTGATTTTTGATCATTTATAACTTATCGTCCGAACGTAATCATCCCATTAGCTAATATTATTCGAATATTTCAAAATGAAAAGTAATCTACACGTTTTACACGTATCTAAACACGGAACGTTTCTTATATGATGTTATTTATAACAAACATTCATATTTTCAACATATTACTGTAAGAGGAATGATTACGTAATACATGAATGTATACAAGAATTTAATGATTATAATACAAAAAAAAAAAAAATCATAGTAAAGTATTAATTTAATTACTGCTGTATTAATTAGTTAAATTTATTTGTGAGCATATCGAAATATATTAAATAATTAGATGAAATATGAATAATTTGACATTACCTTTCAATTTCATCCGTATAAGAACAAAGAAAATAATTTAGGTAAACAATTAATAATATAGAATATTGACAACGGAAATAAGCAATTTCATCAAGTGAAGAAATCGATAAAATGAATAAATTCAGGGCAGCGACACTAACCGGGGATTCTTCTCGATGCCGCGGTGTTGCATTTGGCTCTTACACGATGGCCAATTTACCATGTGATGTTTGGTGTGATGTAACAGTTGTGGCATTTGAAAGTTTGGAAGATGTGCAAGTTCGAGGACCAGGTGATTTTAGTCAATCATCCTAAACAAGTCTGAATAAATCGTACATATAAAAGGTTGATTATTGACGATATGTTAGGTATACCACCAATAATCGAAGGATTATTTTCATGGGCATAAGGTGCTTTAACGAGTAACACTGATGCCCCATGTTAGTGTAATGACAAGTTATGTGATTCCGTACCGTCTTCGATGATTTCTAGCCTTATATGGAAAAAGTATTATACGTGTCTAATCCATTAACTGAATAAACGATGATAACCCAATCCTAAACTACCGGAGATTCCAGCTTCCAGTAATAAGGGGCAATGTCTTATCAGGTTCCTTGCCTGACATGTTCCGCAAAGCTTCCATCATACTTATCCACTATTACCTGTGCAACAAAGATTAAATTTTTAGAACAATCGATTCGTCTAATGTATCTCGAACGATTCCTCGATTCGGTGTATGGTAATGAGGAATTACGTGGTAGATTAGCTTTTGAAACAGGTGTGCATATCAGCGAGGGTTTAGCATGTGTCGCGTGGGATGCCATCAATCAGGTAGGTAATTTCACTTCTTATGAAGAGCATTGGGATAGTAGAATTTCACATTAAATGAGGTCAACGTGATATCTCGGGAAGTTGTGTTAACATGATATCACGGAGAGATATGATAGAAGTATTCTTGTGCTGCTTAAAGGTGAACAGTTTTATGGGAAAAGAGACTTAGGATGTACAAAGGAATACCGTTTAATTAGAGAGGATGTTGATTCTTCAATAAGAAAAGAAAATAGAAAAGCTGTCATGGGTAAGGTATATGGAGATAACAATAAAGCGCGAAATGTGGAAAATGATGGGATAAATTGTAAATTTGTAATGCCAGATAAAAGTACTGTTATTTCAATTGCTTCCTCTGTTGAAGTATGCAAAGATGGAGTAAAAATTGTTGCTCAAGATATATGTAGACAAAGGGTTGAGGTGATATCGAAATTTAATGATCGATAATTTTGAGAATAATACATTGAAAGAAGGATGTCATCTTATTACAGCGTTGGATTCGTGCTCGCGTAACGTGTACCAGTGGAGATCGTTCAGTGGTGGATGTCATTTCTGTCGATTATCCATCTATTACGTTGCGTAGCTTAAAATTCCGTGATGGTGAAATTTACATGCTTCGAACAGATTTGTTATTTCCTCCACTGGTATATTTTTATATATTTGGGTTAGGTTAAAATTAATAACGTGACTGGTAGCTTTTTGTAATTACAGAATTTGTGAGTAAATCTGGTAATAGATAGAATCTAGATGATGCAAAAGATAGCGATGATAACTGTGATAAGAGACTCAAATGGTGATCATATTCTGGTAACGTCCTCCTTGATGTTTGCTAGTTTTATCACCGCTGTCATCTTAGTGGAATAATTTCCTTATTTATTTTTGAAGCTGTTACTATGCTACCATTATTATTATTATTATTATTATTACTATTATTATTATTGTTATTATTATCATTATTATCATTATTATTATTATTATCATTATTATTACTATTATTATTATTATTATTATTATTATCATTATTAGTGGATAAGAGGACTTATTCAGAAGTCTATGCTAATCTGCGAAATAATTTCAGTGTTGTTCCATTCGAGCAATCGATGCCACTGATAAGTTGGAAACGTTTACCAAATCGACAGTGGCAAAAGAAGTCCTCCAAGTTGGGACTCATGTACGTGTCTATTCTCCAGCGTCATCAACCCTCTCGTTTATTGAACTTGTAAATGGACTAAAACTTGAAGAATACATTGAACATGCTGTAGAGGTATACTTATATTTGAATTATTTAAAGTTTCTTTTCATGTGGTTAATCTCACAACGGCAGTTTTGCTTGTTGGAAATGTACCACAACATGCATTCAATGCCTGAATATTCCTTTATCCGGCAATTAATCTAGTTTGCTATCAACCATAAATACAAATTTTGATAGTGTATAGGCTTGTTTTTAAATTGCAGTTTTAGTGTTCAAAACTAAATTTTAACCAAATCTGCTTTGTCTGGGTTTTCCAAGTAAATGTTTTGAGTTTATAGAATTCTTCCATAAACTCAGAACAGTTTAAAAAAATCAGATCTGAGTTTGTAGAATTCTTAGTTCATGGAGTTTATGGATTAGCTGTAATCCCTGTTCTAGGTAGATTCCGTTCGCTGTTCAAGACTTGGGCAAAACTATCTCGATGGTTTAGAAAATATCGACACAGCAAGTCTTTCATTATGATTTTTATCAGCCGTTTGGGAATTTTTTTGGATACATCTTCAAAGGAGTTAATTAGTTACGAAATCACATTTTTTTTAAGAGGCTAGATCGGCTGTACTTTACTTCGGGCAGAGGTTCACATGCTGATGTGACGTCTTTTTCATCCAGCATGAGTTTTCCGCGCACAGTACTTGTTCCACAAGAACGCCATTTTGAACCCTTCAGTTATTCACTGTCATTGGGTCAGGGTATGCAACTTTGAGAGTTATATAATAATAAATATGTATTTTTATAAATTTCAATACACCTTATACTAAGATGATTAGTCCAGAAAATAAGAGTAGAATAATCATGGATTTCCAGCAGCGTACGAAGACTAAGCAGTTTTGGTAAATTTGATAGTTCGGATAATCTAGTTTTGCAAATTACAGTTCGAGTAACAAATTAATTTTTTCAAATTCGTTAAATTTTTCGAAAACTAAATTTACAGGCTCACAACGACAAACGTTACCTTTGCGTTGTGGTATTAGTTCATTGCAACCATCGAAACAGAATGTATTCAACAGCTTAGCTAAAAATTGTTTAACGTCAGTTCCACCTTCACCTATAATGCCAGTGTCGTCATTATCATCATCATCATCATCATCATCATCATCATTGTCATCACAATCACATTTCAAAACACCCAAATTATTACCACGTTCGACAGTCGAACTTCCTCAAATACCGCTCAGAGAAAATCCTTCTCGAATATCATTACCATTGCATAAAAAGCAACGAAAACCATTAGTTTCTTTGACTTCTTCTACGGTAACTGTTGTTGTGCGGTTTAATTCAAATTTTTATTCATAATGTCCACCGTTCAACCGATGGAAATATTGACAAGTTTCAAAAAGAATATTTTCGATTTATAATTATTATATTTCATAAATATTAAGGATTAATACATATGCCGCATATTCATTCTTTTAATATCTTAGTGCTTTTAGAATTTCGAGAATGATTATTTAAATAAATCACTCACTTCTTACGAATCAAATAGTGAAAGTGAGACTTTCAGCAAGTCAGTCAGACAAAAGCAGCAATCAAAAGTGAGTCCTTAGTTGTCGAAATATCCATAAAACTCAAACTCATCATCTATTGCAACAGTTATGTAATGCGCGTCTTTATTATATTGGCAGAGAAAAAACGAAAATGCTCAACGTTGTTTCTTTGGTAGTTGAGAGAGATCTATATTGTCGATCATCAAGTTGTCCCATTCAATTTTTCTATTTCAGCTGTTGGCTGTCTTAAATTGTTAAAATTTCGTTCCATTTCTATTTAAATTCATGCCTATTAAGAAATTGCTCTGGAAAAAAATACCTTGTTCTTAAGAATTGCTTTTTTTCTCCAAAAGTTGATTTTTTGATTTTGCAGGGACCATCAGCCGTTGTGGTTCGGCCGTCGCCTCCATTACATAATTCGGACTCGTACTCTGAAAATTCTGATCCATTACGTGAGGTAGGTCTTTTTCTTTCTTCAGTGGAATATGCTATGAAACCTTTTTTGGAATTTTTTCATTTTAATCTTTTTTTCATTGCAGAAATCAGTACAGGTGGAAGTTCTGAACATAAACTGTGCAACGGAAATCTTTCTAAATACTGCAGAAACCAAATTGCAATACGAGGCGCTCAGAAATAATCTTTCATATATAGATAATGTTAGTTGTTTTTGATGTAACAATCGGCTTTTATTTCATTTCGGGGAAGCATTTTATATCCAGGTTTGGAGTGTCATTCTTTTGAAATTAACATTTCTAACATATTTTCATGTTGGTTTTCATATTAATACGTTTTGATCTGAGTAATAACACGTTTTTGTAGAAAAATATCTTATTGTAATAGATTAAAAGTGATATATTTAGACTGATCTGCTACCGGTGGCAGGATCATGGTGTTCTCAAAATGAGCATTATCTGTTTTGGTTTAATGATTGCTGGAATCGCGTGAAAATTTTGGCTCGTGAAGATGATGACTGGAAAGTGTTGTGCATAGATACTGGCGAAGAGAAATATGTTAAGTATAATTCACGGTTTTATCGTCTACCTAAGCAGGTTAGCCCTTTGTTATTATCTCAATGTGATGGGATGACGTCTGGAAATTTAGATTGTTTATGGTTTTTCTAGTTTTCCATAGGCGAATAGGACAATTCTTTGCTATAAAGAGGATTGCATTGTAAGATTGTTTTGTTAACAAAAGGTCAAGAGAGTCTGGTATGTTGTCTTGTACTTTTTTCTTTTTGCACACAAACGCCGCTACTGCATAGTGTAGTCTTTATTTTGATTTTATTAGTCTTAGGGATAAGCATTTCTTCCACTTGGTAATTTTAGGATCGGAGCCAATTTTTTTTCACTTTTTTCATTGAAAATTTTTGCAGCTTTCAATCGAGGAATGGCCTCCGACGTGTTTGGGACCACTTCGTTTATGCGGTTCAATGGATGCACGATGGTTGAGTATTGGGGCGCGTATTTTTCTCCGCAGTATATGCGAGAAGACACTACACTTAACGGCTGTATTCGGCAAAGGTGAAAGCGATCGAAGCATAATGTTGTACGATGAAAAGGGACGTTGTCTGAATGATCAGTTCGTCAAATTTATCGAAAAACAAACCTTAATCAAATAGAAATTTGAGGATAATTGGATTCTATGAAATCAGAGCGGTTGCTGTTTCAATTCTTCAACTCCTTTACTTTTATACTCCAACCAAAAAGGATAATTTTTCGACTACAGCTTATAACAATCGAACTAAAGAAATTGTTTTATTTTTGTGATATTACTTCTTCAACATGTGTGTAAAAATGTTTTGTACTTATATGCATAAATATTTGTATGTAACATATTTACCGAAATAGATGCAGCTGTGTATGTGTATGTTTAAAATTTGGGATTAGAAATTGAATTACTTGCTTTTGTAGTAGTTTCATATCCTTGATGGCTCTCTATTATTTCGTCGTTTTAAATGATGAACATAACTAGTTACAATGCTCCACTCTTCTTCATATATTATTATATTTAAAAAATTGACACCTTATGCTATTCCGCAAGTTGAGCATGAATTTTCTGTAGTATAAACGAAAAAAAGCTATGAATATTCAGTGTACTACTTTATCTTGAAAAATTGTGATAGAAGCGTAATGTATCTTCTGGAACGCCTCGAGAAAGTGCATATTATTAATATGGCTGGACTGAGGACTGAAATTAAAATTGATAAAGTACGGAACATGCAAAGGAAATCTCGAGTTTATCAATGTGATTCCGATGGTTAGGACCATTTGGTGGATTATAGGTTGAATGTGAAAATATAATGTCAATCCACTGAGGAGGACGAAAATGTGATCCAGTCTTCTGTCAGGAAGGTAGGAGCACGATGTCCTCACAACATTTATTATGATTATAGATGCGGTTACCATTGGAGTTATCCAGGTTACTACCATCGGTGTTAAGTTTCCATGGATGCACAAGAGGAAAAGCTTCGTCAAACTGGCCACTCAGACGACCGCGGTCATATCGGAGGCGATTATATGATGCTGCACTGGAGCCTATGGTGCCTAAGGTTCAAAGTGTATGCCCTTCATACAAGGGAGTTCTCGACTCGATTGCAAAAATGAAATCTTCTGTAAGTTTAATTTCAGTTTACTCATTTAATTGTTGTCAAACATTTCAATTTTTTTTTTTTAATGATTTACAAGAGGTGGAATTTTTTTTGATTTACAAGAATTTTGTAATTTGCAAAAAGTTATTATTTCTTTCTGATTTGGTGTTTTTTTAGTACTCAGCATATGATATGGCATTGGTGCAGCATATTCGACAAACAATCAAAAATGAAGGCTATCAGGTTATGGGTATTTGTCATAGGCTCGCTGTAAAGCAACGAACAGAATGGTTGACTCGGAACCAGTAAGTTTTGAAACGTTTGCTTCACTGATAGCTTTTTGCTTTATTAACTTGGAAAAAGTAACACATCTTGGGTGATTTTATTAACACTGCATAATGGTACCTGTGACATTCTTTCTGAATGATTCACATTCCAGATTACGATTAAAAGGGCTTGAATTTCGAGATTATGGTAATCGAATTCTGAAGAAAGTATTCGAAGATACTCCGTTGCAATCACTCAATGATACAATACTTATAGCCACAAACGCCCAACTTTTTGGCAAAGATATCAATGCAATTAAAGCAATTATAGTTGAATGTGAAAAGATTGACTGGCTGATACCAATAGGTAATTCTTTAATTCAAACTTTACTGAATGCTGTAAAGACATTGACGCCCTTACTAGCAAGTCATTTAAACAGAATGGCTTAGCAATTGACCTTGTGAACTTTTTTCAAAAGTGTCTTTCTACAAGGTTTTAGTCCACCATTGCCCGGTACATGTTGCAGTATCTTGGTTTCTTTGCGGTGAACTATCCTAGCCCATTTTATTTACCATGGATTTTTATATCGGTTTCATTTTCAGCTGTATCTTAGTCGTGAAAGTTCAAGTATTCATCTGAATGCAACCAATTTCAGCTGTTGTATATGGGTCTCAAATATTATCGATATCGGAAGTGAAAGAATTATGCAAATTACCATCATTAGAAGATCATCGAGCTCAAACAGTACAGCTGTTATCGGTGCCACCTAACGAACTCATTTCAACACTTAATTATCACATTATGGATACGATTAGAATCCTGGATTCTATAAGGAATGAAAAGAAACCATTGTAACATGAAACAATGTTTTAACTCTTATGTACAAATTTCGTGAACCTTTAACTCAAATAAAGCATCTATGATAACCATCTCGAAAATTTGTTGTGTTAGAAGAGTTGTACGTTTTTCGACGAAGATCCAGCATCTCAGACGTGTCTTGAAATGAATGATAATGAACTTGCAGTAAAATGCAAATCCCAAAGTTTCGTCATTTTCTAAAATCTCAGATCTTTTAAGATCCAAAAAATCCCTGTAAAATAATTACAGCAGATATGTTATAATTATTTGCTGGTAGGATAGGACTGAACAAAAAAAAAATTTTTATTCTAACATCAAACAAAAGCACAAATTCGTTCATAGTAGTACGGATTCCTTCCACTCAAGAACTTTAATTCTTTTTTTGCTCGTTCTGTGCGACCTGAAGTTAGATTCATTCGTGAGCTCTAAAGTAAAGGATGAGTGCGATACTACGACATGTCGCGAAATTCAACGTAAAGGAAATTTCCAGTCAACATCTTCACTAGTTTCAGTTTCCCTTTGAGAAGGATAGGAGGTTATATAATTTGAGATATTTCTATACTCATTATATTTATCTTATAAAACTTATCAATTGTCTTTGCATTAATTGTAATTTTCAATGACCCACTCTCAAGCTTAAACTTTACCTGATTCAGAGGCAATCCAATTCTTTTCAAGATAATAGCCATAGAGAATATCCATTTCTTCGGCCGTATACAATGAAGTTTCAATGGGTATGAAAGGCTCTATTTTTTCTATATCCTATAATAATGCCCAAAACGTTGAAAATCATATCTCTAAACAAAACCAGAAGGGAAAAAGATTCCCTCTATACCATTGTAAATTACCTCTCCAAAAAGTTCCAGTGGTGTTTCCAGTGGTACTGTAAGATGATCACGTGCGTCACTGACTTCTCTTTTATCCGCAACCAGCAAGCATGCACCATTCGTCTAAAAAATAAAGGCTACAGACCCTGACTAAGATCTTATCCCAAAAGATTCCCCAAAGCGAAAGGATACAACTAGAAAAGAACCTCATACAGATCGTAAGCCTTTTCCGTTAAGTGAATGAACATACCCAATCATTTCGTAATAACTTCCGAAGATGATGAATCAAGGTGAAGTATTTAGGATCTACAAATTTATGATTTCTATCCTTCATTGTTGTTTTGCCATAAAGAGAATTTGCATGATCAATTGTCACAAGCAATGGAAATCTACCAGCACTACAGTGATGCGTTAACTCTCGAAGTAAACCACCAACACAATCTGATGATAAAGAGGGAGCAGAAAGACCCTGAAATGAATGAAGTATGTCATCATTTATCGATTACACTTCTCCTTATCTCTGCATAAAAATGAACTGCAAACCGGAACATGACTGGATTAAAATTGGAATCATCATAAAAAAAATAACTGATTGATTTTCATTTAAAATAAGCCTTACAATGTCAACGATATTTGTGATTGGTTCTCCTTCTTTTGTTTCCTCAACTTTGGACCATTTGTAGTGTTTCTGGGCCTTGCATTCCTGGGATTTCATTAAAATTTGGCAACTAAGACAAGATATGTAACGACTAAATATGGCTGTTTCAATCATTTCTCAGATTTTTTAAAATTGGTGATAAAAGAAAAAACCTTAAGTTTTTCCCAGTTGGGTGTATTCATCAGTTTGAATCTTCGCAGTATTTGGTGTCCAAGCAAAGGAAAATCAATACGACCTTCATGATAAGTTGATGGTTTCACTTCATCATAATCCCTCATAATCGTTATCACTAAAATTATGTAACTTTTCTTCTTACCGTTTTCAGAGAACTTTCTTCTCAGGAAACACTTAAAACATGAAAAGTAATCTGAAATTGCCTATTTTTCCATTGTTTTTCCATGGTGCATGATATTCTACTTAGAGAGTAAAAGTGGAAAGGAGAAGGAGTTAGTTTTAATTTCTTAGGAAATTTCATACTGTAGTAAATAAAAAATTTTACTCAATAAATATAAGTTTACTATAAGTATGATTAATATAGATCCAGTCATACTAGAAAAACACAGATACTCTTTCTGCACCTCAATTATATCAGGAAAATACAGATACTCTATCTATTAAATTTCGACTCCCGTAACGGGATAAGGAAGTAAAAATACTCCCGAACATATAGTTCAGATGTTTACAACAAATTATATTGGAAAAATTGGAAACAATTTATTACCTCAAATATATCAAGTAGTATGAAATAATTTATTAGCTTTGACAAATATTTGTCCAGAATCGAAATTAATTGCCAGAGATTCAGATCGCAAACCACATGGGATCAAAAATAAATATTAAAAGTTAAAAAAAGGAAAAACAAAAATTAAAAAATACCACCGTTGATACTCACCATTCGGTATTGTAAATATTATCCATCCTTGCCTCCACATATGATAAATTGTTTGGAAAACAGTCATCGATTTACCAGTGCCCCATCGTCCCCATAGTACCACACGTAAATTTGGAATGTTCACATCTACCAACTAAAATGTATCAAAAAGTACTGCTCGAAAAAAAATACTTCCATGACTTACAATTAAGTCAAAACTCTTTAAAGCATGAGAGATTATTACAGTTTCCAATCAGAATTTCAAAGGAATTTTTCAGAAATAAGGAGCACGTGAATTAGAAATTTGTTCTCGAATTTTCTATTTAAAAAAAAAAATATGCATTCATTTTCTTCGATGAGCATTTCTGCATGTTAGAAAGAAAATGAAATCGATAACATGTGGAACTAAAAAGCAAACCTTTAAACATGTGGTTGCTTCAAGTGTTGGTTGCCTGTATAACCAAACACATTCATTTAATGTTTCCACTTGTTTCCGGAATTTCGGAGGCAACATATATCGATAATATAGTGTATCAATATCTTCATTGCTAACCTGATACAGACGACCTAAGTCTCCAGCAGTTAAAGCGGTCTAAAATGCACATCCTTCAAAAAAACATTTTAGTTTACAATTAACGGCGCTAATTCATACAAAGTTTTAAGAAAAACAAAAAAAAAACGAAAAAAAGTTCGAAAAAAATTCCAAATTCAATGAATTTCTCAAGATGTAAAAGCACTAAATAATTTTATTTTTTTTTTTTTTCAGAACCGTTGTTTATATGAAGAATCACTGCTCCGATTTAATCGATGTTAATGTATTATAAATTCAAAACTTTTTCTCAAATAAAACGTACCGGATCATTTGTACTTGTTGTTTGATAAAATCTCTTGTTCAAGGGCACTAATTGACCTGGTTTCACTGAAAGCAATCGACAATATTTTAAATCAACCGAAGAAAAGCCAATAAAATTACTTCCCCCGTTTTCAGCAATAAATAATTCAACTCACAAATTACGAAGCACTGCCTAGAGGCAGCATTTCGGACTAAATGCTGAAGTAAACTAGCGACCATTCCAATTAAATTCACAGAACAATCAGAACTTATAATCCAAATAACAAGCCGGAAAGTTGCCACATCGGTAACTGTAAATATTAACCGTTTGCTTAAATCATTTAACATACAAAAGATAAAATAATCCCAACTTGTCGTAAAAGATGTGACATATACATACTACGGTCTCACCAACTAACTTTGGTGGAAATAAACCTATTTTAATTCCGCAAACTAAAGAATGTTTCGAATTTTATAAATAACAAACTTATTGTCGCTTCAGTGAGCAGAAGAAAACTCACCCATTTAAAAGGACCGTGCTAGAAAAAATAAAATATATCTCTTTATTACACATACTACATACAATAACAAACATTGTCAACAACAAAATAATCAAATTGAGCATTACAGTACAATAACAGAAGATAACCAGTTAGTACTGCGGAATAGTATCGACTAAGTAAACACTATGGACGCAGTTAATAAACTGGAAGGACACTGGAGCCATTCACTGGAGCCATTAACATCTGATAATCAATGCCGTAAAAAGCGTGTGGCCTAACATTCCAGTACATTCTGCCACATCGAACCATTAAAATCACAAGTGATATCATGATAATCACTGCCATTATGGTAATATAATAATCACAGAGGCCATCTCCTAATTTAAATTTTAACCAATCTGTGTTCAGGAATTGATCAATGCATATTGGAATTGACCACTACTCTCATATTCTGCCATATCAAGTGCTATTTCGCAACTTTCTCGCACAACACGCTGCAAATAACATTTTTTTTTTATGTTTGAAATCTTTTTCTGATTTGCTTTAATTTGATGACCTATCACAACCGCAACTTCGATGAAATAAAAGTGTCTTGGAAGAAATCTGAACTCTCCTTCGAAAAAAAAAGATTTCATGAATGGAAAAATAAAAATCATAAAAGAACAGTCCTGCATAGTTCTGTGGGATAAAAGGCAACTGAATATTATTTGCAGGACTATTAGGATTGTCTAAACATTACTTGAATGTCCCATTAAGATATATTTTCATTTAGAGCAATTCAAGCTAACCGACTTTCTAATACATATACCTCGGGATCGTTTCGAAACTTCTCCAGCACTTCCTCGCATTCTTTGGTTGCTATTGCTCCCAAAGCTTCAGCACATTCATGTCGCACCATACAATTTTCTTCTCTATTTTCCAGGGAATGTTTTAGTTCCGTAACTGCTACTGGTGATTGTGCCTGACCCAAAGCATAAGCAACTTCATGCCGGAATAGTGCGCTGTCACTACAAGTCAATCCTAAAAAAAAAAAGGTACCCGTTTAAAAATTTAACAAATTCTCAAATGACTTCACCAAGAGGACGAAAAGCATAACAATACTAAATATTCTGTCATATTTGAAGCAAGCAATGAATACTGTATTTGTAATTAATTTAAACAAGCAAATTTTAAAAGTCAAAGATTTCGTAAATATGAAATGAGACCTTTTGCAAGTGTTTTTATAGATTCATCTGTGCCGATATTCCGAAGGGTGAACAGAGCTTGATACCTTTCCCATAATGATTTTGTTGCATCCGTTAAAATCGAAGAAAGCTTATCAATATTAGTTTCAGCTGAGGCAGGAGTTGGGTCTACAAACTGGAGTTATACTTCTGCAGAAAAGTTTCCTTCAAGAATAGCATAAATCAGATGGTAATTAAATTAAAAAAAAGGCCAATCAACATCCCAAGTTCTTTATTAATAGCGTACATTTTCTTCACCAAAATGTTTCCGTTTCTCTCATCCTTTGATTAAGAAATTCAGACAGCAAATAGCTGGCCCTAACGTAAGTTTTGACGCGAATATTAGAACAGAATCAGTAGAAAACAAAAAGATCTAAATCAATTTTTACAAAAGTAAATGGCGGTTAACAATTACATCAAAGTTCAAAAAATGACCTGTTTTATTTGCCAAAAGGTAGATTCACGACAACTGGATAAATTAGGCTCCAGTTAAATATTATTTCACTTTAAATGAAGCTCTAGTGATTTCATACCTATTGAATTGTATGGACTTCCTTTCTCATTTTCTTTATGAACACTTTTACTTTCTTGAAGCCACATTATCCTTCGCAATGCTAACCTGCACGTTTCTGCAATTGCTTGGGCTTGATCGTTGATGTATTTTTCAAGGATAGCTGCAGAAGAGCAGGAACCAATTGCTCCTAGTGCTTCACCTGCTTCATGACGTACAATAACCTCTGAAATTTATGCATTTCAGGAATTTTACAGTTAAAAGTTCTAAAAGTTGTCAAGTCAACCTTTAATAACTATTAGCTGATTCATTTATAGTACTTATAATAGAGATCCTCATCAACCTTGATTTTCATCCTGAAGCACAGATTCAAGAACAGGTATCGCTGTTTCATTCTGTGTCTGACCAAGACAGTAAGCTAATTCATGCTTCAGAAGGGCGGATGAGTCACCAAAACATCGTCCAATCCACTCAACTGAGCGGTCACATCCAAGGTTGCGCAAAATGAAAAGAGCTCGAAATCGTGCACAAAGTGGCTGCCTGTAAGATATTATGGATTTGTCCGTCACCAGACGAAATCTGATATACTTCAAGCAAGGAAACAAAGAAATTTTTCGAATAATCAGATTCCGATTTTTCATTTAAACATCACTTTTTAACAGTATAACAGTTCTAACAGTTAAAACTTAGCCTACGATCACTTTATAATCCTATACAGTTTTTGCGGCAATATTCTGGAGGGAGTTGAAGACACATGAAAGTTCACGGTTTGCACTCACAATCACAGTTTAGTTTTTAATTCACTTCCTTATGGTTTTCACTTACTATTACGAATTATATCATCAACATGACAGTAATCTGAATATGAAATCGGAGAACAAATAGGAAATGAACGGATTTATACTTGTTATCGTTTAGTAATCGGCCAATCTTATCGATTTCCGAATCGGTTGGCATTTTCATTGATCTGATCTATTTTGGATAATCCTTCAAATAAGAACAGTATTAACTTGACTAGTAAAATCCATGAAATGATTGCAGTCTTTTGGGACATTGCACATAATATGTGAGTGATGTCACTGCAGCGATATCATCAGAATGGTGTTATCAAAGAGGTACCATCAATCTAAAGGTCATGAAGGCAGTGCTCATAAAAGTAGTAGCACTAGCCTTTAAGGTATAGCATTAATTTGAGATTAACAAATTAGTTCCAATACAAATAATACCGTCAAACACTTATTCATACATGAGTTATCAAGGATTACACGGAACGTGAAAACAGATCAAACACATATGTCATGCAACGTCGAGTTGCTGTTATAGCACACCACATGGTACCACAGAAAACATTGCTAAAGCTAGAACCACGTACCAAACGTAACCAATTTCTTTATATTACAAATCGAATTTTCAATTCCTACCGGTGAGTATTTCGCGGTTCACGCATTTCACGTAACGTGATATACATGAAATACTAACCGTGAAATGCGCTTACTGATTTGTTGTACATAGAGCGTGGCATATGACTGTTGACATTAGTGCTGTGAAATCATGTGGTGTCGTCTAAAATTACTAATGTTAAGGTTGGCGAGAATGTTACGATATCGGGCGATGTCGGGGAGAAATTTTGTAGTGACATTGTTCCGCTACCATATGTTGTCCAATTTACTGATTCTACTGCATCATCTTGTGGTAAGTTGTCGGATAAATAAAAGCGACACCACTGGTCGGAGTGTACTCTGATTCAGCTTCATTCTCTTTGCTACCCGTGTGTTTTTGAGATGTTTCTGAGCTTTTCATTGTAATCTTCCTATGTATTTTATTCGGACTTCATTTTTTACTGTTAGGTGCCACTCATTTTGTGTACTCGAGCTAAGTACAGCCGGAGAAGGACTTCTCCTATCCATAGGAACTTTAAGTTTGAGAAAGACATGTACCCGACAAACGTACACCACATCTTTTTAGCTCACGATAGGAATAAATCCTGTTCCTGATTTCAGCCCAACGAATATGACTACAGGAGCATCAATTTTTGATAAATTGATGCTTCCTGTAGGTGACTTCTCATACTGTGAACATTTATTCTCATAATGAGCTGAAGATGTGTGATATGCGTCTGACGAGTTCAGGGCATATGTCTTTTTCATGTCTAAGATCCCTATGGATAAGAAGGAGAAAAGTCCTCCGGTTGTACTTAGCTTGAGTACATAGTGGGTGGCGTCTAATAATAAAAAGTGGAGTCCGGGAAAAACGTAAAGGGAGATTACATTGAAAAACTCAGAAACGCCTCAACACTAAGCAGAAAAGAGAATGAAGCCGATTCAAAGTACATTGTAGCTAATGGTGTCGCTTTTATGACATCAATGTTCACACATGCATTCGACAGCATCTATCAGACGTTAACAGCATCTATCATCTATCAGATCAAGGGGACAATGATATAGCAGAATTCAGTCGGTCAGACAACATATGACAACATGCGAAACAGTGTCTAACAAAATCTTTCCCCGACCCCGACATTATATGATATCATAACAATATTCTGTTCAACCATGGCGCTTGTTAACATCAATAATCCCAGACAACACCACAAGATTTAACAGCGCAACATGTAGTGGAACAGTGTAACTACAAAGTATTTCCCCGATAGTTTTTTGGTGCCACGATCCAGAAAGATGACATCAACGATACTAGCAAGCGTTGCCTCGGTGAAGGAAAAGATCCTAAAGCTGATCAACGAAGTGCAAGAAATTGGATTGGAGACCAATCGACCAACACCTATCTGACGAAGAAGAACAATGTAAACAGTACAAAAATCGGAGGAAGATGATTGATGACAAAATGAAAAGAATTGAATTATATGTAGTAACGCTCGTATCAACGATAAGTGGCTAAAGTGCCTGCAAAAGATCTCACCACAACGACAAAAGGAAGAAGAAAAGAAATACGCAGAAGTGGTAGGAGACGTCAAGGAATATTGAACTTAATAAATGAAGGAACATTAATAATCTTGGCTACATATAAAAAGGATGCTGAAGTCGCGATCGAACTAATACGTGAAACATGAAGAGAGTCCTTGAATCAGATAATCTAGACCAAGATGATCCCAGACGTCTCGCCAAGTAACGATAAACTTGTTCCAACTATTACTGACAGTGTTCAATGGAGATCATGAAAAGTGGAGGGAATTTTGGAACTTCAAGGCAGCTATGCATAAGCAAGACCCTCCCAGACATGCAAAAAATAAACTGGAAGATTTTTCCCCGACAGGCGGTGATGTTTGATTAAAGTTCAGTTAAAGGTTATCACTATACTATGCTATATTGGCCAATCACTTAGAATTCTTAGACAGTTTTATTTCCCTCCCAAAGTAATGTATATTTTATGTCATGATTATGTAAGCGCAGTGTCGCAAAACTTTATTACTGTGACTTTGGAGTCGTTGGAAAAAAAAAACTTTTCCTTGGTTTTCTTCCCATTTTCTAAATATGATGTTTTTTGGCAATTAATCATACTATGGTAATCGACCTTCAAGCCTTTGCTTTCTTGAACACGTAATATTGTGACTGTCAAACTTGATTACATGTATACATCCATAACCAGTGCTGCGAAGATATGAATCTGACAGTTCCCGTGAAGTGCACCATTATTAGAGACCTCATTCTATCTCCAAATACAAAGCATTTTGTCGATTATGCTAGTGAAGTTCAGAGGTCATTATTATTTATTCATCATATCATCTCTTGCTGTTATATTTTCCCGTAGGACGTAGTAATCCACCGAAGAGATGTCATCTGAAAAGAGAACCATCCTCAGGATATAGTAAAGCCATCCACTGGATGACGTTAAAGAATGAGGAAGTCAAATGACCTCCTTGACTAGCCATTTCCCTTTTCTCTCTCTCTCTCTCCCTTTCTGAAATGCTGCAGTAGTAATTCCCTAACTTGATTTTATCTTTTGGGGTTGCCTTTGCCTTTAATCACTACTGGGTGAGATTTTTGCTAGGTAAGTTAGGGTGATTGTTCGTTTCTCAAATCTACAGTTTTCTTTTGTCCCCAATTTTTGTATGCTTGTCAATGTTACATATTTTATGTTTATCTCTTTATTTGACCTTCCCATTAGGATGATTTCTCCAGAATTATAACTTCTGGTTAATCATCATTTCGTAGAATATTTTCCTCTCTCTCTCCCTGTCTCGTTCTAAAATATTTTTAAGGGAAAATACAATGATTATTTTCTTGTTGACGTTTTTATCCTCGTTGCACTGTTTTTATTTCCATTCTAATTTTCGTTATCAACAGGAGCGGTTCTACGAATCATCGTTTGCACCACTAATTTAAGAAATGCAGCGGTTTCCAGTGATGGACATTTCAGAGATGACCTCACCATCAGTAGTGATGTCGCCATCACTATCGATGCCATCTGCTCAGCCTGCATCTTCAATTGATCCAATTATCATACGTAACATCATTGATGAAGCATTTCGTGTGAAAACAGATAAGCAGGGTCGTATCACTCCATCAACGAAGCAAATTGGCTATGAATTATTTGTAAGCAGGTGATTAGTCATTTCTAAATTATTCTTAAAGTTCCATTAATTCCTTCAGAGATTCTCCGTTCTCTTCTAAAGAAAAAAAAATTATATGTTCCAAATGCGAAACAATTGAGCTTGACTATTAGCACGGTTAGTTTCATTCATGAAAACTCTTAAGAAGCGTGAAGTAACATGAATAGGAGACATCTGTATCGCTGTGAATGATGAAGTAGTTTCTCCTTATTCTTAGAAAAATTTCTAAATTATAATTTTTGCACGAGTCAATTGTTACTTATGACGTAATATGCAAAATATTCAAATTTGAAATCCAAATTTGATTTAATTTTTCCCTTTTTATATTCTTAATGTTTCAGGAAAATGTATTCATATTTTGATAGTATTAGTGGAAAATGATGATCCATCTTTCTTTTCTAATTGATTGCGAAATATACAGATTCGAGCCATGCCTTCTGATTGATGCTTTTGCGACAGTGATTGAACAGTTTCCCGTTGTTGCAGCTGAATGTCCAAAATATAATAGCTGGTGGACACCGAGATTTTACCATTTGATTTTTCTCATTGCACAGGTTAGAAAGTGACATTTCCTTATAATATTAAATTTATGCGTTTTACTCGGAAGTTTTTACACATTTCTTTTTTCGATTGTTATTAGCGATAATCATTTCAGCTGCTGTTACAATCAAATCGCTCTATTTTGTTGATAATTTTCAGGCTTTCATGACCGTTTTAGCTTCGGAACGTGCACCAAATAAAACGAAAGAGAAAAATGTAAGTGTAAACTTTGTGCGCAGTAACTTTTTGAGCTGGTATCATTTCTGCACGAAAATTTCAGTTGTTTGTTTCCTTTTTTTCATGGAATCAATTTCCAGCGCAGTAATTGATATCGTTAGTAATTCACGTGTCTATCTTTATGTTTGAAATAGGTTTCTTGTTTCAGCGTAAGCAAGATTCATTTTCAAATGTTCATGTAAATGTCACTGATGAGCAACGATGCAGAATTTTGAAGGATGTGGTGTCGCTGAATTTTAGTTTCGACTCAAATTTTTGGACTTTAGCCGATTATGTGTTAAATTTCAACAAGTGTCCAAAGGATGTAGTGACAATTATTTCTGATGCTGCATCGATTGGAAAAGCAAGGTTTTTCATAACTCCGGTTTTTTTTTCTCAATCACATTTCAATATTTTAGACTATTTATAGATATTATTTTTTTTTCTGAAGCTATTCATAGATATTAACAATCGTCATTGACTAGTGACCGTTTTGTTTCCATAAAAGGCTGTTTTTGCTTAGATACTTGGCCGTAGATTTTGTTCATCCTCTCTTATTAGTTTATATTTTGGAAATATCCGTTTCCAATAACATAAAATTGGTGTAAGATCAAAAACACTTAATTTCGAAATGTTTTACGGAAACATAGATTAAAGCAGCTGTAAAGTAAGCATTGTCTCAAGACTTAGTAAGCTTTTTATTTCCAGTTTTTCTGCTGTTGATTACTGCATTCGTAATAAAGTGCTTTCACGTTACTTCGACGATCCAGCAATTTTATACTCTGCTGCTCTTTTGGGTCCTCTACGTGCCGGTAGTGTTGAATCATTTGCTGCAAAAAGAGGTGAAGAATTTCGACAAAGATGCCGTGAAGTTTTATTACGAGTAGAAAAATTGGCTGGTTCGCCAAAGGAATGGGAACGTGCAATTGGTATTCTGTTTTTCATTTCATAATTGCTCAAAATTTCCGAGGAGAACACATAAATGTAATGTAGTTCATTCCTTTGTAATTTTCAGGTAATTCTTGTAGGGAGCCTTTACATACTATTTTTGCTGTAATTTGTTGTGTAATCAGCTATTCAATTAAATTTTAGTTGAATATTTGGGATCAGTAAAGCAAAACGATTCGAATGGCAGAGTTGTGGCATATACATACGTTGGATTTCGTAATTCATTTTCAACCTTGATGAGAGATTTAAGGGGATTACCACCATCAGATGATCGAATCAATGTTAGATGGGCTCATCAGTTAGTGAAAAAATGTGCCGCGAAATATTACTGCGAAAAGACGTGGAAGGTACACACTTTTTCTCTCTTAAGATTCTTACGGATAAAATGTTCTGAACAAAAAGAAATGGCAGCAGTCACTGAACATTGTTCGGTGTCTTTATTCAAAAACACTTCAGATATTCAATATCTGAACTTGAAATCTGAATCTGATCTAAAAGCTTGAATACCTGAACTACAGATATTCAAAGACAGTTCAAAAGACACTGAATCATTGTTCGGTGTCTTTAAGACCTCATATTTCCTCTACAAAAATTGAGATTCCGAGTTCTGATTCGGTCCAGTCTATCATCAAATTCAATCCAGTCCATGAGATTAGTTGAACTATTTTTATAGTTCTTGTTGAGCTGGAAACATTTTGTATTTCATTTAAAATGCAGATTTTTTAGATTGAGAATTTGCATGAAGTGATTTGGACAATATTGGCGCAGAGACCGTCCATGAGAAAATTCGTCGTGCAGACACTCAGCAAAGATTTTAATGATCCTCAAGGTGCAGAAATGTGGCGAATTTGCAAAATACCGGCTGATGCAAGAAAGCATATGTCACATAAAAGGTCGATCAGTTCCTGTAATATTTTATGTATTTTAGTGTAATATTTTAGCTGTCCAAGTGAGGCATTCGTATAATAAAGTCATAATTTTTGTAAATGTATCAGATACATTCTAATGATCACGAGTCACTGAAGTAGTAGACAACATTTATTCTAGCGCTAGCTTGTATCACTAAGAAGCTCTTTACGAATACTATAACTATATGATATAAAAACTCATTATTTACGAGATGTATAACAAACACTAAGGCTTGTTTTTCAAATCTTACCCTAATACTTGACATTTTACAGTAAAGAAGAACACTTAGATCCGCGCACTCCGAATCCACCATATTTAAGCTTGCCGGAATCAGTGGAACCAATCGAGTTTGTACGACATCCATCACATTTGAAGCGTGTTGCCAATCTTCTGGAAGATTATGCAAATGATAGTTTCCCACCAGTTGGTGTAGATGCAGAGTGGTCTTCCTATGTTTCCTATAGCAAGTTAGTTTTGGCTTTCTCCAACTTAAGTTCTGGATATATAACTTAATGGAAAAATGGTGTTGGAAGCTGTACAGCACGATTAAATTTGTAGAAGAATGTTGACTAAATAAGCTTCCTTATTCTTATCATCGATGTTATTTTTCGAGTTGGATTTATTTTTGAATTTTTTAACAAATTTTAAACTATATCATTAAAGACAATGACTGACAAGCGAGTAGTTTAGTTCAAATAATGAAATGAGCATATATGATATTCAACCATCACTTGAACAAATTGATTAGTATTGTGATGTTTTCAGAGCAACCATTCTACAACTGGCTATTCCATATCATATATTTATAATAGATGTTGATGAGATCAAATCAGATATACTAGTGGTTTTTTTTGAAAAATTATTCGTTGAATGGAAACTTTTAAAAATAGGTTCGTTTTGTAATTTTAACTTTTCCAGCTCTTTCTGCATTTTCAACTATTAATGGCTTAATCACTGTTAAAGCTATAGCAGGAAGGAGCATTTTACGAACATAGATTAATTCATTATTACAAAACGCATTGCTCTGAATGATCTGAAATAGGTCTGTTGATGGAGTGAAATATGACAAAGCCCTCTCAGATATTATATCAGTGAAATAAGCGTGCTAAATGTTTCAAATGATCTATCTTTTAATGGAATATCTTTAAGGTTATCAGTTTGATGAGGATCTTATTCAACTACGAAGTGCGGTACAACGTTGTTCAGCTTTATATCACCCAAAAAATTTGATATGCATTGGCAAACTTGTTAAATTGGTTAGTACGAAATTTCAATTCCACAGAAATAATAATATTAGTGTTTCCAGAATCTGTTATTTTCTTTTTACTCTGTAAAAGTTTTCTTACTTGATTCCTGGGATTTTGTTGCAGTTAATGAAAGAAAGCGCGCAAAGGCCAGAGATAAACCTGGATGGAGTTTTCCATTCTGAAAAAGTACAGACAAGTGAAAGATCTACAGATGGAATAAGAACTGATATTATATCTACTGAAATGGATGGAAATACATGGACTTACACAACAGATTGTAAGGAGGATGCGAAAGAAAGGATGAACTTTGTCTCAGTTGATATACTTCAAGCAGTAAATAAATCCGATGACGTAGCATCAACATCAACAGTAAAAGTAGAGGAAGTGAAGGGGTCAGTTACGGTAAGTTTTGTTTTTCTTTATATATATCAGTTTGTTTAAAATTATATTTGTTAACTTGCCAGTCACTTTGAATTCAAAATCGGTGATCATTATGTATGAAATTTTCGGAGAAACAAAGAAGAATGCCAAGTTCTGTGTATTTTTTGGGTATTAATTGTGTGCAATTGATATGGGTTTCAACAGCAGACCAGAACTGGAGGGATAGGAGGGATTAACGGTGACATTTTTTGTTGCCATTTCATTATCACTTTTTCATTACTTTATTAGTTGCAATCTGATGCTTTTTTGCTGACTATTTCATCACAGTATTAATTCTTTGTGAATAAAAAAAAAAATCTTGTGATGTAGAATGGTGAACTTATTCTTTTCATTTTTATGACACTTTATACTGTTGGAGATTAAAGTAGGTCTTGGTCATTTCATATAAATGCTTTATTTTTTTTTTAGTCGGAACAAAAAGAACAACATATGAGAGAAAAAAAAAAAGAAGAAAATCCATTACTAAAGGAAATCAGAGGTTTATCAGCATTATGCAAACGGGTGTTAGGTAAACCATTAGACAAAACAGAGCAGTGTTCTGTTTGGGATCGGCGTCCACTTCGCGATTTGCAGGTATTTTATTAAAGTTTCGTTTCATTTAAAAATAAGCCTAAAATTGCACGATGTTTCTGTTAAGTGATCTTTTGGAAAGATAAAGTTAATTAAACTTACTTTTTCCCGAATTTTTATCATTTGCAAAATATTTCTCCCTAACATTCTTCTTAATAGGTCGGAAAAAAAGCAGAACATCCAAAGTCTTTTCTGTCTTTCATGCTCAAAATCATCCTTTAGTCTTTCGTCAATTGCCAGCCATTCCTAGTACTCCTAAAATATCAAGATTAAAGCTTCAATTAGTATTAGTCACTTAGTCATCCATAGCTCAATCGAGTGGTCATTGAGTCTGGGTGACCTAGTTATCACATCAAGATCATTTTCTCTTTTTCAGTTGCGATATGCAGCATTAGATGCTTATTGTATGTTGATGCTATATGAGAAGTGCGTTGATTGGGCATCTCGACTTGATCTCAATATAAATGAAATTTGCTCAAAGCAAGAACCTCTCACTGGAACGCTACCACTTTTTTGTGACAAACAGTAATTTCTTTTTCAATCAATGTTTTGATAATTCCTTCAGTCTTTTCATATAGATTTTTGTCAAATCTTGTCTGACTTTAATATTTCCCAGTATTGAACAAATTCTTTTAATTATAGCATCATTTAATATTTATTGTTCTGTCTGGTTTCAGAAACCTTTACTCTTCGATCCTTTTCTTGAAGATGGGTTGAATAATGAGGGTAACCTTCTATGCATTTGAAATCATGAAATTTTTTGGATTGACATCAATGATAAAATATCTCACTGTAAATAATGTAATATTGTTCTTGATGGATAAAGAGTAGTGGTTTAATTTGCTGCTAAGAGATGAAATTTGATTTGGAAGTGTTAGAAAAAAAACTTCCAAATCAGATTTCATCCATTAATAAGTACTGAAAAAAATTCACTGTTTTTTGGAGAATTCATTCCCTTTCATGAAATGATTTAATGGGTGTTGAAGTTTTGTTCAGAATGACAGTGGTGACAAAATATCCTTCAGTATTTTAATTACTATCATTTTCAGAAACTATTTTCGTTTTTTTAGGCTCGTATATTGCTTCTGTGTATAATATGTCACTCCAGATGCTTTACTACTATCTATTTGATTTTAGATTCTTAAACTTTAGAGACGAAATTTATTTTTACTCATCAGAGATTGCAATGGAATTGGATTATTGTTCCACATCGTGTTCCTTCTGTACTGGCATACTGTAGCATGTAATTATAGATTATCGATGAGTAGTTTTTCAGAGAACTTGTAAATGACTTTTCGTTAATCTCTTCAGTAATTTGAGCAAGTTGCACATTAGTAATTTCAGTAATTTTTATACCTCATAATACTCATTTATTCCACTTATTTCTCACTTTTAGCGGGTACATGACATCTTGTAAATAGTTTGTCATTGCGCCCGTAATTCTTGTGTTCAAATGTTTGATTTTAAAATCCAGCCTCTTCTCCACTGCGGTAATCAAGGATAAAAGTTGATTGTAGCTTTTTTGTTGGATTTGTTAGCTTCCTTCATAATTTTATTAGGTTATATTTGAAATTTTGTATTTACGTATAGAAGAAGTAGTATAATGTATGTTTGATTTTTTTTAGTGGAATTGATCTATTTCTACTTTTTCCCATGTAAAATTTTTTGTTAGTTGACCATTCCTTTGACTCCAACTTTATCCACCGTATTTTCAAAAATAACAAATCATGTGGTGCTGGAAACGATGCTCTGGTAGAGCTATTAAAGATTATTGACCGGTCTAGTCTTCATGACAGAGTCATGTCTTGATTTATGCTAATTATTTACTTATTTTTTTCGAATGTTCGGAACAGCTGGTTACATATGTTATTTATCACCCTATGGATCATTATTTCTTTCTTTCCCCGTATTAAAATTTAATCATTTTGTTTGACAACTCGAAAATAAAATGTTGCATGCATTATTTGCTGCTTACTTGTATGATGTGCTGATTTTTTATTTTTGTTTCCCTAACAAATAGTGACTTCTTGCAAACTGATAATGCAAAATATGGCAAAGATACATAGGAATGATTATCAACAAAAAATGATTGAAAGCATAGGAAAAATGATAACGAATTGATAAAAGTATCAAACCTTAGTAAGCTTATAGCTAACATTTCTGGAATGGCATGTGAGCTTTTTCTTCCGGGAATTTCGACTTATCCAGTTCTTTTCAGCCTAGCATCGTTTTATTACTTTTTGCTTGCAAATCTGAACTCCCTTTTTCCTTACAATTTAGAGTTGAGAGTTATATAATTATTTACGCTCTACGAGTTTTAGAAATTATTACATTCAAATCATTGGAAATTATGTCAAAAGTACTTGCATTGGGTAGGGCTTAATATATATCCTAATAGGTATGCGACATTCCAATTTTTATAACCTGGATTGTTAGAAAAAAAAAACTAAAACAGTATCTCTATAGTCAACGCACATTGTTATTCCCGGAGCAATCATATCTTTGAAACCGGGATGTTTTAATTGTTGGGTGAAGTTTAATTTAGGCAGTGTCCGATAACAGCATAAATTTAAAGCTTTGGGAGGTTGTATTTTGATGGTCGGTACACCTCGATAGAAGTTTGTATGGTTTTTGAATTGTTTTAAGCCTACAAATTTATTCTTGTAATCTTTTCTGGAATAATGAGATCAGACTTTTTTATTCACTTTTAAAAATGCTTCAAGTAATAGTTATTGTCGTTTTTTAATTCCTAAATAGCATATTTGTCGGAAAAAAGTTGGTAGAGGGAAAGGATTCGAAATTAACTGCTTGACCTTTGGTATTTTGGCTAATGGTTAGTGTTACTGTGGTTGATGAAGAAAAGGTGCGAATTCTTGGGAAATAATTGTAGATAAAAATTTCAATTCTTTGATTCATCGACGGTTCTCTGCTAGAGGAAAGTATGCGGTGTTATAGTTGGTCCTGTTTTAGATGAAGAGCCAGAAGTAGGAAATGAATTAAATTTAATTTGTTTTATAAATAAAAGAATTCAAGTTCGAGGCCAGGAATCTGATTTGCCACAGATTCTAGGATTTCTCGAGACGGACCAATTTTTGATTTTATATTTTACTGAATTTATATGTCACTGGATTTTGTATTGGCGCTGGTTGCATGTTTAGTCCACTTGAAGGTTGTAGATTAATTGTAGGTTGGAGGGTTGAAAAGTGGGCGGCTTTGAAAGTGAAAATCTTGGTGTTTTATTCGGTGATGGATAGGTGGAATATTGATCATTCAAGACTAAAAATTGTGGAAGACTTCGAGAAAGTTCGCCACCACATTTAAATAATTCATTCTCCCCAAACTATTCTTCTAGTAATGTATACCATTTACAGTGAAAGAATTGCAAAGTTTTACCGTTTTGGAATCATTTTTATATGCAAATAACATCTGAAAGAACACCTTTTAAATTTCTATTTGTTTCCAGGTCTCAACTAATGGATTTTTCTAAACAGAAAAAAATTTCCAATGAATATTTCCAAAATATATTTCTAAAAATTTCCTGCGAATATCTTTAAAAATTTATCCGGCATTTTGTTGTTTTTTCAGTACCTCATAAATTAAAATCTGTAATCTAATTGCTACAGGAGAAAAAAAAAAAATGGTAGTTGGGAAAATGTTAAAACATTAATTACGAAAAAGAAAATTCTGACATGTTATTTTACTATAATATCAATATCAATGGAAAGGATAAAAAGGTTTGGAACTGAAATTCTCTAACACTTGGAAATCATAAAGAGCATTTTCGTAAACGTTGTTGGTACTGCTGACGATCGCACCACGCAATAAAATTATTGATACAAAGGGAATCATGAGAAATGTTATGACAACATTAGTCTAAAAAGTTGTCCTCATTGTTTCTTTTTCTTCTTTTTAAAAAATTAATTACTAAAATGCATTGCTGAAACACTGGAATGATTACTAATTACTAATCATTATTAATTATTTATTACTAAAATGGTTGGTACGAAAAGATTCATAACAAAATGCAGTATCGATAACCGTAAATATTATTCGAAACACAAAGGCGGATTTGAAATCAAAGTTGAATATCAATTATTTTCTCACTTATAAAAAACCTAGATATTTATTCAGTTTTGTATAAGCACTTGCTTAAATTGTGGAAATGTAACAATTTCAAAGAATTATGAAGTAGTAGAATAGTTGCCTAATAAAATGATTGATTGTTATCTCAATAAGACAACAAATCAAGGACATCCAAGGATAAATAGATCAAAAAAGTTCAGGATATTTCTAAGGATCGTCTGGTCGTCAGCAAACAAATGTCACTACAGCCATCTCGTAATACTGAAAAGCTAAATCGAAACGAGATCGAAAGACAAGAGGCCTACTTTCTTCATTGTAGCTTCTACTGGATGCTGAGAATTTCCAGATTCCACAAATCAGTTTTACAACTTTGTTATGGATTTTTGATTTCTAAATATTAAGGGAAATTTGAAATGAAATGGTCTTCTCGCTTAATTGAAAAGTAGGTTCCAACATTGAATGTCACATTGGAGAAGAAATTAAATGGTATTTTCAGGAGTGATCTCTGGAAGCTTTGCAATGTTATCGTTGCAAGGCCACCGATGTATGTCGCTATTGCTGCGTTATCCGAAAAATTGAAAAATGCTATAAGTGACATATTTGCATGTAATGAATTTTGAAAATGCATTAAATGTCAATCAGTGCCTGCTGAAAATCGAATTTCAATTACGCACTATTTATTGTTCAGATAACAAAAGGTGATAAACTAATGTCATCCCACTGTCTACGATTTTCTTTATCGTGGTAAAGATTGAAGGTTATTTCTACCTCTTTCGTTGATAGTACCTCAAACTTGAGTAGTTAAACTTGGTTAATAAAGCAATGAACTCAGCAATCACGATTTCGGTATGACAAATTAATGGCAATAACAACAGAAACAAAAAAGATCAAATGACACCCAATACCGCCTATCCAAACAACCTCGTTGAAACACATTTGTAAAATGATTTTGATGCTGAGGACCTTCCTCTTCCTCAGATGAGGAAGATCCTGGTACAGTTCTGAAATTATAAGAGCGTCTATTCAAGCGACCCTGTTGGGGCACATATAAGTAGAGAGGATCCTAGTACAGTTCTGAGATTACAAGAATTAGTAATCAACAAGAATTAGTGTCTTTGTTAGCGCATATGGAATGGAGCTCTTTGTCAGAGCACATAGACACAATAGACGCACAATTTTAGCTTACATTTTATATTGCACAGTAGTGATTCCTTCTCAACGATTTCAGCGACACTCCCGAAGCGAGCGATGTATCTGGACCTATCCTTGGTCGGAGACCTCCAAAGAGTGGTGATGTCTACTACTTTCACTAGCCGTTTTCCCCTTGCTATTTCTGCATCTGCTGATCGACACGTACCATTTTTGCTTCTTACTAGCCCGTCGACTCTTATCACTCTCCAGGTGTTTCTGGGACAATCTCTTTTCAATAACGCTACTCATTAATTTCAAGTTCTCGTCGGATTCGTTTGCAAAGCCCCTGATGTTTACGTTGAGTTTGTTTTCTTAATTCTAGGTGTTCTTTTTACCCTATTCTTCAAAGGTGATCAAGTCTCTTGCATGTAGTCATGTACTGATTCCTGTTTTTTTGTTT